GCCCAAACCCAGACATTACCCACTTCCACATCGGTTCACTCCCAAAAGACTCAAAGAGTACAATAATTAGCTGAGCCATGCTGTCCACCCCTATTTAATTAATGAGCTGGCCTAAGAAGAGCAGAGTATGTCCCATCCCAGAAAGGTGCACCCCAAGTACTTCTAGAGGTGAGGAAAAAAGTCATAAGAAAAAAGTCATTGATTTGGGGAGGAAAATAAGTCATAAGCTAAAGAAAATCAGTATTGATAATGTATTTATTCAACAAGTCATTACAATATTATCATCAATTTCTCTGAACCACAATTGAACCTAACTTATAAAATTAAAGTGTTTATTCAAGTATAATACATTTATTAATAACTGGAGAATCGGACGTTTTTATAACAGTTGTTGTTGAATTAGTTTTGCAAATAACTGGAGAACAGGATGTTTTATTACTTATTATTTTTTCCATGACTTTTTTCCAATGACTCTTTTTCGCTCACCCTTCTAGATGGCTACTTGTATGCCAAGAACAAGGTGAAAGGAGAAAATGATGATGTTCAAGTGACTTTCTAATAAGTGTTATCTGTGCACTGACAAACATGTGATGTAAACTACTATGGTGCTTGGTCTCATAGTGAGTGAGTGAGTTAATATTTAGCGTCACATCGGCAATATTTCAGCCATATCGTGACCAGAACAAGTTAATTTATATCAATATTAAAATCAATAAATTTAGAACATAAAAAGCTGTCATCGAAGGACAGTAAAAATACTACAGCATCAAAGATATAAATTTAAAACTAGTACGCTATCATGAAATTAAATCAGTATAGACAGTAAAAAATATAAACGGGCTATAGATCACCAACAACTGAAGGTAGATCACCATACTAGGGTCCATGGGGATTTACAATACTTTCGCTACCTGCATGGACCCTACCAGGATTTACATCGTCCCTTCAGTTGCTGGCGATTATGCTGAGCCATTATTAAAAATAACGAACATACTACGATTAAAAGTTTGGTAAAGCTAAATTGACTTTGATGTTTTGGGACTTACTTAGTCTCAATTGTTTGATAGGTACATGTATATATACATTTTGTGGGGGATAATATTCACAAGTAAATGTGATCAGGCAAATATATGTTGATACATATATGTTCATGCAATATGTCTTAATTTAAAAAAAAGGTACAGCTTAATTAAGCCTTATGCAACCAACCATAAAATGTGTTGTTTTAAGCGGTCTGTCTTTTGGGAGGTCTGTCTAATGGAAAGATACCTCCACATCATCGCCTACTCCAATGCACTTGCAATGAACCTTTACCATACCTACCCCAAGAACCATACCGACATCCACGCAAATAGGTTACATTAAACAAACTTCAGTTTCATCCTTGGGACTGACATTCAAACATTATTTATCAGCACGTTTTTGTCAGCACATACATCACACCCCGTGAAGAATGTTATCAGTTAATTATGAAGGTACATATTAGTTGTGGAATGCAGTTTTTTGTTTATTTCTTGACCACAAGATCCAAAATGGTTGCACTGATATCGACACATATCATAGGATGGAACCGATATTTCAAAGAAGAAACCCTATCCTGTGGGATTCTGCATTGGGTGTTTATTGCTTTTCCCGATAAGCTGCCTATTTCTGACAATGATCACTGTCGGATAAGTGACTGTTGTGCTTTATCGCCATTCAGCCAGTAAAGACACATCGGGGACAGTTAGTTTTGAGATGCACAGCTTGAAAGCTGGTCTGTCCACTGCGGTTAAGGTTAACGCTGAGTTCAATCCTTATCGCACGGTGGTAATACCAAACGATTGTCCAATGTCAAATATTGCACACGGGAGACTTGACAACATTCAGTTTACTACGTTACCTAGATGGCTGCCCGAACATAATTGTGAACAAGTTCTAGACCGTTATTCGCAAATTCATTTCGCCATGAGGCTAGGGGTGCTTCCAAGACGTAATTTATGATTTCATCCTTGAGAACCTCGTTACCATGTACGACATTTCTCATGACGGGCTTTAGAAATCTTTGACAAGAATTCGATTGAAGCAACCTAGTTGACAGTCTCTGTACTGAATCACTGTTTATTTGTCTACAAGCTGGCATGGCAACGATTTACTTCCAGAAGCAAATGTAATCACCCTTCTCTATGTTAGAGCGGACGCTGCCAATATGCACGTTATGGTGTCGTTTCATCCTTTGCTGTGTCTTATCGTTAGAGATGAAAGAATGTAGTGATGAGAACGAATGATGAACATTCGTCTTTTTCAAGAATATTGGCTCAATATACTGGATTGCGTTCAGCCTTTCTATGTAATAAATGTGCACACTTCTGCTGGATTCTGAAAGATGTTTTAGAGAAACAAAATCGATTTAAGGTCATCGTTTATATGCTTCGCATTTTCAGCAAAGTGTGTTGTTCCAGCATAATCGACTTTATTTATATCCAAACACAAGATTCCGTTTAAGTCAGGCAGATTTCAGTGCTACGTACAATGCATGCTCAAATTCGGAACTCCACGGCCCCGGATTAGACTAGATCCCAATGGGCCGGTGTGTTGCAGACATAAGGAGCTAGTAAACTGGACGGGACTGTCAGGCTGTGTGATTTCTTAGTTCGTGTAATTGTGCAGCGATGGTGAGAATCTTTGTTCCAATTTCATTAGTCTGCCCCAGGAGTGCCTTAGGTTTGACTCCAGTTTCAGTGGTTTGCCACACGTTTCAGTGGTTTGCCTCTTTTTAGGTGGTTTGCCTCAAGTTTATCTTAGGTTTCACTGGATTGCTTCAAGTGTATCTTAGGTTTCACTGGTTTGTCTCAAGTTTTATGTTGTTTGCCTCAACTTAAACTCAGGTTTCAGTGGTTTGCCTCATGTTTAGGTGAGTTGCCTCAAGTCTACCTAAAGTTTCAGTGGTTTGCCTTAAGTTTAGTTGTTTGCTTCACGCTTAAGTCGTTTGCCTCATGTTTAGGTCATTTGCCTCGAGTTTCAGTTGTTTGCCTCAAGTTTGTCTCAAGTCTCAGTTGTACCAGCCCAAAGGCACCGAAAACATATCATTCTTGTATTTTCGGGCAAAGTCCAAGGATTTCTACAATTATCATTTTCAATGACATCTACTACATTTTCTCGGCGGTAACGTAGATGGAACCTAATATGTTGACAGTGCGTAATAAAAACACTCCTTTCAGCTTTTCATAACCATATATGCCAGCAGTTTCTAATGTGACCAGTCCTTTCCGCCGTTTTCGTTAGACGGCTTAAAAAGTGCTTTTGTATAACCTACAAACCTTATTTTAGCTTTTCGACATTACATGGACCACATCCACAGTGCAAGTTACACAGGGACTGCTACACCTCTTGTGTTTAAATGGAGTACATGAAGCTCAGACTAAAACAATATATATTTGCCAGGCATCAGCGCATCACTCTAAATCCTGCGCTTCTGTCATTGTCTGCCGACACAAATATTTTCAAATTGTCCGTGTGATATCAAGCATATTCTGTTATACATCAAGTAACCGCTTGACACCGGACATTGTACTAAACGCCAGAGTCGAAAGTGGGCCAAATTCTGTTTGTTCATTTCTGGGAAGAAAGATATAAAGTCTTCCAAAATGGATGGGGGACATTGTTGACTTCAAATTTCACAATATCCCAACGGTGTGGACCTATGCCATTACGTCAACCACTGAATTGTCTGTGTCAGACTATGTTATTTACATGCCTATTGTTGAGTGAGTGTTAAACAGCTGGGAAAATACAACAATCACTTCGTCCAACATATAGAACAGACGTACAGAAAGCATTGATCAAGTTGCCCAGACAAAAGGAATGGATCGATAAGTTCAAAAGGACAAACCACTGTTGATGAGATAGACATGACGTCAAACAACGTGAAAATGACGATCAATTAGCGCCATAGTGACAGTATTGTTGGGTGTCGCTATAAAAGTTACTAGTAAAGGTTTGGGGACAGTTACGCGTATATTTCAGATTTGTAATATAAATTCTGTATTTGACATGTAATATATTCCTCAATGCGATGCGGTCGTCGGCAAAAACAGGACCACACGTAGATTTGGATTAGTCACAATGCAGGGTTAAATACCATAAATGTGAAATGTTGAATCTACATTACCCTACTATGTCTATATTTCTGCAAGCCAGGACCAAGGCCAAACGTTAAGGTAAAGTTACAGGCAGTTACAGGCAGTGTTTTCTCTAAGGGACTGACACAGTCGTGTGGACACTTAGAGACGCGGTACAAACTTTCAACAAAAGGACGCGTAAGGTTTAGCAGAAGAAAACGAACAATTCAATACTTTTCAAGACAAAAATAACGATCAAACAATTTCACAAGTTACCCTTAATGAAACCGGAATGAGTTGCACATGGCGTCATTTCCTCAGTATAGACCAGACAACTATGACAACTATCATTAAAGCCAATGCATTTATGGTTATAACCACAGATACCATATACATTTATACGAAAGGGGAAAAAACCAATTTCCATAATCATGAAAGAAAGGAAAGGTCACCGTAAAAGCCTGACTTTGGCTACCTAGCTGTCATTACATGAGAATTATGAGTTCGTGTTTTATGTATGTCAAGCACCGGCAAATGATTACAACTGCCATTACCTTCTCAATATCCCAGACCTGTCATTATTTGCACCTGTTTTCGATAAATGTTCAAATTATTGAGTCTAAAGATATCGGCTAACGATATCGGACAAAGGGGATTAAGATAATGTTGTATCTTAGGATATCATCCTTAGGCATGTTTATTTTGAAAAAAAAATAATACGTGATATATGTTCTCATATCATACATGGCTAAGCTGCCAAGTCTCTCCATGGCCGCATTGACATTAGAATTATGCTTGTTTTTTGGTAACATTTTTTATACAACGTAGCTGTTGCAAAGAAATGACCTCCTCCATGTAAAGGATCTCCATTTGATCAACGTTTGTCCTTTTTAACTGCAGGTGAAGTTTAGTGGTCTAACAGGAAATGTTGCATTTGATCGGATGGGACTCCGAACGGATTACAGGATGGGTGTCTTTACTGTCAGCCTTAACAATGGACCCCAAAAGGTAAGAAGAGTCTCTGACCAATATTGTGTTTTCAACAATGCCAATACATGTATGCAATACAAAGGATTGACAAGTATGTCACATTCCTTCCAGAACAGTCGTTGTATTTACGCAGTGTGAAATCCATATAATTTTAGTGTGGTATCGTCGTAATGGGGAATATTCCATTATCTTGCGACCTGCACATTAACGAGTTGGTGGCACTGCTAAATAACTTTAAGTGGCATTTACAAGCAGGTATTATGAAGAGGAACATTTTATATACTGACAACTTCTTTATTGTCCCCATATATTAAATATTTTTTTAAATATAGAAGTTATCAATCCATAAATGCATTCCTCTTCCCTGCTAAATACGTTGAGAATTTGAATGGACTTGAAAGACACCAATTCCAACGACACCAAGAAGCCGATCCGATGCACTCGACATAAGTGGAGTCATGGATTATGGAGTCATGGAGTATGGAGTCATGGAGTATGGAGTCATTATAATGCGGGTCCCTACCAGGTTCAGTTGGTGAGTGAGTCTCCTGTTTGACACCGCTTTGAACAGTATGTCTGTAACACTATGGCGTGTCATCTTGCTTTGGAAGAGCAGCTGACCTGCTGCAGTGAGTGAGTCTCCTGTTTGACTCCGCTTTGAACAGTATGTCTGTAACACTATGGCGTGTCATCTTGCTTTGGAAGACCAGCTGACCTGCTGCAGACATATGACGCTTTCAACTCCGTAGAAACTGCTATGCAACAAACCTAGGGATATGTGTTTCAAACCCATGAGTTTATCGCACGCCGAAGTGAGGAAACATTGTACAGCAAACTCCTGCGCTATTAACCCCTCGTAACGAGATTCTGTCAAATTAAAACGTATTTTTCGCTTCGTATGGCGTATTGTGAAATCGGAGTAAGATGAATCGTTATCTGCAACATGTTCAATGAGGAGAATGTATATTTGTGGGCTTACCATTTTACCGTAGTCCCTTGGCTCGCGGCAGATTAAAAGCCTGAGCAGGAAACATTGACAGTTTGATCTTTGAAATGTAGAATATATATTTTTATCCCATACCATTAATCTCTGTTGTGACCGTGACTGCTATAGATTAACGACCACTGTCCAAACCGATCATTCAAAACCCCAATAAACCTTTTACATGACCTTTTACTGAAGACATAGATGAATTCAAATGTTGCATGTTTATTGTGTGATGCTTCACCTTTTTGTGATTCAGGAGACCGTCCTGGCTCCGATTGTCGTATAAGTGGAACCTTTTGTAATGGAATGATCCATTCTTCCCAAATGTGTCCTTAAAAATACGACCATTAAAACGGCATTGACCTGTTTTGCTTTTTTTTAAATTTAACTTTAGCATGTATGTAAGCATATTGTAATAATGTATTCATAAATTAATATATGTTTAGCATGTGAGCGCCATGTAATTATTGTACTGTCAATTCAAATGTAGCGTGTGGTCGATAAACCTCTATATAGCAAGACAGTCGACAGGTATATGTACATTGTATGCAGGTTAACTGCCAAAAGTAACTGTGCTCCATATACATTTTAAAAAGATAACTTTATTCTACAATTACACAAGTTATCGTTTAGTGCATATACAAGAAGACTTCAATTTTGAATTTGATTGCACATGAGGTTTAATGCACGGTTACAAGTGTGGATTTTTAAGTGTTTGCTAGTTGGACACAAGAATGCTTTAGCCGTCAGGTGCTAATATAAACACGTTAATAATACTTACGTAACGTCACGGCTAAAATGCAATCAACATCTACGCTATGTTACAAACAGGAATAGCGTAGGGTAAAGTTGCCAGACTGGTTCAGGTTCATGGAACAAGATGCCTTCTATTTGGAGATGTCACTTACAGCAGGGCAACACTTGTGACTCGCCTGTCGTCACAGTTAACAACACAACTGTATCCTGTTGGTGCATCTACAGGATCGAAACAAAACTGACACATTGTGGAGCCTCTAGAGAATCCATACAAAACTGCCACATTTTGGAGCCTCTAGAGAATCCATACAAAACTGCCACATGTTGGAACCTCTAAAGATTCCATACAAAAAAGCCACATTTTGGAGGCCTCTAGAGAATCCATACAAAACTGCCCCATGTTGGAACCTATAAAGATTCCATACAAAAAGCCACATTTTGGAGCCTTCAAAGAATGGATACAAAACTGCCACATTTTGGTGCCTCTATAGAATCGACACAAAACCGCCACATTTTGGAACCTCTAAGGAATCGATACAAAACTGCCACATTAACTTCTTACGGTGAGGCCAGTTAATGGCATCACTCAACGAAACGCCGTTGCCTCGCCCGTATCAAAGGTAGTCACACCTGACATCAACATTGTTAACTGAGTTGATGCAAAACCCTTTCTTTCGACGTGTAGTTCGATCACCTGCTGCAGAAAGTGTAGTGTCAATGAAATTGTGATACAGCATAACGAAAATAAACATGCTGTCAACCTTTATAGTTCAGAAAGCACAGCATTTACATGTCTATATATGAAACACATCCATTTGGTTACCGATAGTATATGTTAGGAAGAATTCAGAATATTTAAAACGAACAGAAGATTGGTAGTATGTAATTTCAGAAACGTCGATTACGAATATCTGATACATCCGCCTACGTAGTATGTTCATGTTTAAGATTTGGATTTCGAGAAAAGCATTGAATTTCATATTAACTGATTTATACCAGGGCGCCAATTTGGCGTAAAAGTGAAATCTGCTCTTCTCACAGAGCGAGGGGCAAGGAATACAACCAGATTTAGAGACATTTAGACATTCGATTCTATTATGTCCAACTCAACAAGTGACGCAGTGCCTTACTAATGGAACAAGCCTTGGGCAAACCCTGTTCTTCAGTGACAGAAAAATATATAACGGAAATATGCTTCATTGTCTCTGAGACAATATTCAAATTGGTATCGCTGCAATTGGTTACAAAGCAATGTTCCATTTCTCAAAGGGATTATGTTCACGATACGAACAAACAAAACACTGATAGTCACAGCATAACTTTTACACTCGTATGTGTTTTCTTTGTATGTTTGTATGTAGCGACATTGTAGATGATACTGACGACATATGCAATAATGCTAGATATCAGATTATTAACCTTTGTTACAGTTTGATGTTGCATCACAATAGATACGTTCAAGATAAAATTCGGAAAACCAAGCTGGCAGTGCAGAACCCAGAACAACGGGCATGACTTGAATAGCCACATAAACAAATGCAACGTTAACCACGTTAAGAAAACTGTTAAAGGTATATGCTACACTGAGTTACTGCATTCAAGTCACAATCTTTGATTACGGAATGAATTCGTCAAAGATACTGTACTTGTACACTTATCCGGTTGAAATAAATTTTGTGTAAACATTCATGACAATACACCTTAGAAAATGCCTGCAGAGTGGTTATCGCTGGTTTAATGGCTATCGGATGATATCTTAATTTCGTGTCTGTTCGAGTCACTGGTTATAAAGAAACAATACAAATACAATGGGGAACATTCCTGGAGTTGCGCCCCCTTGCCCGCTTGGAGCGCTGCGGTAGTGACGGTCCAACAATAGCTGTCACTCTGATACTGGCATATAGGCCTGCCTATCGGCCAAGCCTAAACTTAAATCGACATTAAACCTACTTTTTTCATCTGTGGTTCTTATATTACGAATTACAGAAGCTGGAAGTTGCCCCGACTGAAGACTGTTGTCAAACCATTTACTCCCCATAATCTTTTTTATGTACAAATTTGCTTACCCCCCTAGTACATGTGTACAAAATTGATGACCTCCACCTTTCCAGAACAAAATAGGTGATCCCCCTTCAATTCATCATCACCTCACACCCCCCCAAATGTATTATTAACGGTCCCTTAGGCCATTATTCAATCCCCAAAATGTACAGTAAATTGGCATAATGACCCCACCCTAATCTGTACCATTTTTAAAGGCTGTCTGTTCTCAACACAAATAACCAGTATCTAAATGACAGATCACATTTTGAAAACACAATAATATAATTTGAAATTGTGTTTCAGGTGTTGTCAAATAATGTAACTAAGCATGGGTTATATACTGAAATATTATAAACACATTGAACCATTACTGGAGAATCTGAACTATCTGATGCCAGAAGCAAGGGGGTATCGGGTTCATTGTCTTTAAAGGTGGGAGCCTTTTAAATTTGAATACAAATATTTCACATTTGTTATTCCAGCATGTGTGAAGGGTTTGCAAACTACATCAAGGCTCATCACAATTGTAATGGACTCACAGTGTCAGTGAACATAGTGTGTATTTGAAATACTGAAACAAGGAATAATTTAGCTTTTGAATGGTAGTCTAAATGATACAATTGAGATTCTTCAATACTTATGATTATTCTCATGTGTCAATTATCATCAGACAAAAACCATCATAGTCTGGGTTGTCATTTCAGTTTTTATTGTTCAATATATTATATTCTGCATGTATGGACATTCATAAATATAGACATACATACAGTAAAAAATGATGATCTCCTTTGAAGAACCTTGATTAACACTTACATCAGATGGATGTTGATGTTTTCCACACTGACAATCATTCTGTCAATATTGCTGTAAAGATAATTTAGGTAACATGCATATGCACCAAAAATGGAAGTACAACAGTGAAGTCTGAATATTTTGACAGCCATGTGTAAATGAAAATTGCTGCAGCACCAAGCATAATAGTTAGTCCAGGAAGCACTGACATGTTTGTCTCTGTCTTGATATACAGTTACTTTCATATTTGGCCTGTGCCCAGTCTGGAGAGAAAATGTTTTGCCCAATATTCTTGCCTTCAAAATCATCATGGGTGATTGCTTCCTCCCCAGCGACCTCACTGATGTTACATTTAACATCACAAGTATCCACCAGCATTAAGTGGGTGAGCTGATACAGTCCAGGGAAAGAATTGGTCATACAGCATCTGTTTTTCTCT